ATATATATATATATATATATATATATATATATATATATATATATATATATATATATATATATATATATATATATATATATATATATATATATATATATATATATATATATATATATATATATATATATATATATATATATATATATATATATATATATATATATATATATATATATATATATATATATATATATATATATATATATATATATATATATATATATATATATATATATATATATATATATATATATATATATATATATATACACATACATAAATATATATATATATATATATATATATATATATTATTTTATTATTATTATTATGATTATCACTGTAATATAATTTATAAATATATATTTTTTTTTACCTTATAAGAAGCTGAGCTTCCCTAAAATTAAAATCTTAAATTCGCCCCTGCTCTAGACATTATGCTTGGGCACCATGCAAGACAAGTTATGTGAGCTAACAGCTAATCAAAAATCTAAAAAGAAAATGTCAGAAATTCCCTAAATACTATCTAGTTAGGCAGCTCACTTTTCAAAGACTCTGTGATTTCTGTTCCATAGCAAGATGACTATTTAGACAGCATCATGCCGTTGCATGAGTGAGTTCACATGCACCCTCAGCACTTTGTGATGTAACCATAGCCGTAGCATTCAGTCTGCCAAGAAGAGAGAGCGCGTGACGTCACAGCACTTCTTTCCGCCTCTGCAGCCCAAAACAGCTGTCTAGGTAGGCAGCTCACTAGGTTTTGACACACAGCCAACCTCCTTGAAACGAACCCTGGGTGGCAATCCCTATATATGGCTCTTAAATAAACATTTTCATCTTAATTGAAACAGCATGGCTGAAACTTCGTTTGCAAGCAGCAGGAAAATGTGCAGTTAAAACGGCATCAACAAGTCAGTGCTAGTAGAATATGCAGTAAATGATCCGGACAAATAAATTACCATGGTAACCAACGTTTCCGCTGCTATAGACACTAAAGACATATTCAGGAGATGTCTGCACGTTTTCATTTTATTTCTATTGTTTAATTCATTTTCACTTTATGTAGTACACGTCTTAACATTAGCAGGATAGCCTAAAACTGGTTACCATGGTGAATTTCTGTCAGGAGTATCGCAGGTGCTGATGTCTTACCTGATGTTGCCTTCAATCCAATGCAAAAGAGAAGATAAGTCAGGAAAAGCAGCAGAGTGTCATTACCGTACATTGTTATTATTGTTGTTATTATTATTAGTGATATATCTTAGAAACCAGTCTGCAGTGTGGAGAAGACTGACAACGTGTGCTGGCGGAGCAGCAACAGCGGACTGACGCGAAGTTTCAGAAAGTTTAATTACAGTAGACTGGGAACACAACTTCAGGCAGAAACCCCGCCTCCAGACACACACGCTCCGCCCCTTCTGTGTTCGGATTGGTCGATGAGATCTAAATAAATATACCGCTGCAGCTTCATTGGCTGATGGTGCTGTCAGTCAGAAAAGAGGGACAGAACCGTGCACGCGGTCCCAGATTTATTAAGAGAAAGCAAATCGACACACACAGACACGGTCAGAAGCTGGAACAGAGAGTCAGTCAGGTACATTGACGGTTATTAGATCGTTTTGTTAGGCATTAATAATATGTATGAATGCAAAAACAGCAACAAACTATGTTTAATCAGTCAGTTTAAGTGCATGTTTTGCTTAGAAAAACATCTTAAGACCAGTTTAAGCAAATGTTCTTGTCTTTGCTTGGATTTATACGTTGCCAAACTGATGTGTAACGTAAGTTGATACCTGCCAAGCTCACAACACCATTAAAAAACAACAACATTTAAATTCTTGTAAATAACTACATAAACAACTATAGTCACAGCAACCTTAAAGGGACAGTTCACCAAAAAAAAGTGAAACGCTGTTACTCAGGCTATCAAAGATGCGACTTTTTTTCCTTCAACAGAACATTGAACAATGTTTTTAGCAAAAAAAATTTAACTAAAATGGCATTTTGAGAGTAAAAAAAAAACATACGAGCAAACTATATTAATAAATTAATAGAGAATGGGAATCTGCTGTTACAGTGCTATGCATTGTGGGAATTTGGAACACAGGAGCCTGATTCCTATATGTTGATTTCTACAGCTTGATAGCACATGCATACACAGTTGAAGTCAGTATTATTAGCCCCCCTGAATTATTAGCCCCCCTGTTTAACTTTTTCTCCAATTTCTGTTTAACGGAGAGCAGATTTTTTCAACATATTTCTACACATAAAAGTTTTAATAACTCATTTCTAATAACTGATTTACTTTACCTTTGCCATGATGACAGTAAATAATATATTACTAGACTTTTTCAAGACAATTTATACAGCTTAAAGTGACATTTAAAGGCTTAACTAGGTTAAATATGTTAACTAGGCAGGTTTGGGTAATTAGGCAAGTTATTGTATAATGATGGTTTGTTCTGTAGACTATCTAAAAATATATATGGCTTAAAAGGGTTAATAATTATGTCCCTAAAATGTTTTTTTTTTTTTTTTTTAATAAAAACTGTTTTTATTCTAGCTGAAGTAAAACAAATAAGACTTTCTCGAGAAAAAAAAAAAAACATTATTAGACATACTGTGAAAATTTCCTTGCTCTGTTAAACATCATTTGGGAAATATTTATAAAGAAAAAAATTCAAAGGGGGGCTAATAATTCTGACTTCAACTGTGTACACTAGTTTGAAATTAACTTGAAGATCTCACTCTACAACAAAGCAACTCTCCATAACGTAGACTCCCAATCTGTTTACATGTGCCTCCTTTCTATACATTGAGGTCTTATGAAGCAAAACGACCTGTAATGCTGGTAACCCAAATCCATAGCTTTTGCAAATGGTCTGAGCACTTTGTAGTAACATAATGTTAACGTGTGTCTGCACAAGGTTATTTTGCCAGTACAAAAAAAAAATAATTTCAGCCACTTTGAACTGTATTTCACCCTATAATCACCAAATAAATACATTCAAATGACAATGATCTGACAACAAATCTAGTTTTCTATCCCTTTATCATCAGATTCCATCCTTCTCATTGGCTGACGGTACTGTCAGTAAGAAAAGAGGGACAGAACCGTGCACGCAGTCCCAGATTTATTGAGAGAAAGCAAATCATCGGCACACACACAGACACGGTCAGAAGCTAAAACAGAAAGTCAGTCAGGTACATTGACGGTTATTAGATCGTTTGTTAGATGTTAATAATACTTATGAATGCAAAAACAGTAACAAATTATGTTTATTTGTCAGTTTAAGCGCATGTTTTGCTTAGAAAAACATTTAGGACCAGTTTAAGCAAACTTCTTAGCTTGGATTTACACGCTGCCAAACTGATGTGTAACATTAGCTAACACTTGCCAAGCTTCCAAAACTATCAGCTAAATTGATGTAAATAATTACATGAATAACAATAGTAACAGAACCCTTAAAGGGACAGTTCATCAAAAAATGCTGTTACTCAAACTATCCAAGATGTGACTTTTCTTTCCTCAGCAGAACATTAAACAAGGTTTTTAGCTAAAATTGTGAACTAAAATGGCATTTTGAGATTGAAAAAAAAAAACATACAAGCAAACTATATCAATAAATTAATAGACAATAGGAATCTGTTGTTACAGCGCTATGCATTCTGGGAATTTGGGGAGCCTGATTCCTATATGTTGATTTCTATAGCTTTATAGCATATTCATATGAACACTAATTTGCAATAGACTTGAAGATCTCACACAACAATAAAGAAGAAAATATGTATGACAATGTTTTCCTGCTGCAGCTTGTTGCCAACCTGTTCATTTCTTTGATCTGCTCCTCTTCATCTGTGCTAGAGACAGAATATTAAGGATATTTTTAGCTTTTCAGACACCATCAAGCATTTCTAAGGCTATCTAGACATTAGTCAGTTTTATTCTGAGTATTTGTAAGATGTTCTTCAGAGATTATGACTATAAAACAGTCTACTTATTTTGTGGAGATTGACGTTGGTTTACATTGTGCGTTTCTGAGCATGTCCGAAAACATGGCAGAACGCAACTCTCCATACTGTAGATTCAATCTATTTACCTGTGCCTCCTTTCAATAGATTAAGGTCTTATGAAGCAAATCGATCGACCTGTAATGTTTATAATCCAAATCCATAGCTTTTGCAAATAGCCCTGAGCACTTTGTTCGTAACATAATGTTAATGTGTGTTTGCACAAAGTTATTTAGCAAGTATAAAATACAAATTTCAGCCACTTTGAACTGTATTTCACCCTATAATCACCAAATAAATACATTCAAATGACAATGATCTGACAACAAAACTAGTTTTCTATCCTTTTATCATCAGATTCCATCCCTCTGTGGCACATGTTGGCAATGTCTGCTTGCTGTAATTGCGCCCCATCAGTTTTAGAAGGTAGAGATGTGATGCATTATTGGTGAGTATCGATTCAAGTTCTTGATTATTATTTAGTGAGCGTAAAACTGCCATTTTAAATGTTAGTCATTTATCGGTCAACACACACATGCTGAATATAGCATTGCATTTTTATGGTGGGGCAAACTTTAAAATCATGTGCAAGTCATGTGGTTTGTTTGTCACAAAATGTTGCTAAGGCATTTATATGTGATTGATTTTGTAGCAATTTAGCAAATACCACTTATTAGTATCCCATATCCAAACAAGAGAATGTGTTAATTATTCTTATGGAGCTGAACGGACATTCTGTAATAGATGAATCCTCTCTGCATTGTTCACTTACAGCAGTATGAGCAATGAAAAACTTATATCAGCAGACCATACCCTGAGAACAGAGCTTTTGCAAGTGGATAAAGTTCATTAGAGTAGGTCAGCAGAGGCTTTAATCCTATTTCGAGTGCTTTGATTTCTCATTCCTCTTTGCCAAAGTACTACAGAAGAGTTAATGCTGCTTCCTGTGGATAGTGGGGCCGCTGGCACAAGCAAGTGGCCTGTAATAAGCGATGGCCATGGCAGAACTATCCAGGCTGGATACTGTGGCATTATGATGATAAGTGATCACAGTGTGCAGATTTTACAGCAAAATAAAATAATTGTAGTTTGAAAGTACTAGCAGTAACAATGATCTGGCATTTTAGATCATTAAACCACCCAAAACACCATTGAATAAGATCCCAGTGCCATAGAAATCCCTTAGCAAATGTCCTAAAACATCCCAGAAATTCCCTTGCAAAAACATTACCAGAAATTACAAACATTACAATGCTCTAACAACAACGTAACAGTGCACTAAAAACACACAGAACAGCCTAACAACCCCTTAGCAACACCACAAATGGCCGATATAACACAGCATTAAGCAAAAAAAAAAAAAAAAAAAAAAGTGAAACACCCAGAACATCACAGTAACAGCATAGCAATGTACAAAAACACTGAATACACCTTGCGATAGCATAACATTCAGACTGCCGTAACAACATAACAATGCATTAAAACCCTCAAAACACTTAAAGTATCATAATGGAGAAAAGTAAAAGTACACCCTAACGACATGACAATACACAAAAACACCCAGAACATCTTAACAACAATGTGGAAATGCACTAAAATACAAAGGACACCCTAAGATCAATATGACAATACACAAAAACACAAAGTACAACCTAACAATAACATGACAAAACACGACAAACGACAGAACACCCGAACAAAGACAATATTGCAATAAAAACACCCAGAAAACCTTAAAAACAATATAACAGTGCACTAAAAATACACAGGAAACCTTATTGATACATCACGGTACACAAAAACACAAAGTACTGTATACCCTAACAACAACACAACAGTACACAAAAACACAAAGTACACCCTTAACAACAACACAACAATACACAAAAGCACAAAGTATACTTTAACAACAACACAACAATACTCAAAAACACTAAGTACACCCTAACAACAACACAAAAATACACAAAAGCACAAAGTATACCTTAACAACAACACAACAATACACAAAAACACAAAGTACACCCCAACAACAACATGACTATACACAAAAACACAAAGTACACCCTAACAACAGTACACAAAAACATAAAGTACACCCTAACAACAACATTACAATACACAAAAACACAAAGTACACCCTAACAACAACACAACAATACACAAAAAAACAAAGTACACCCTAACAACAACACAACAATACACAAAAGCACAAAGTATACCCTAACAACAACACAACAATACTCAAAAACACTAAGTACACCCTAACAACGACACAACAATACACAAAAACACAAAGTATACCTTAACAACAACACAACAATACTCAAAAACACTAAGTACACCCTAACAACAACAC